GCTTTATCACTGAGTTCGATTCCAATCCCCTAAGCTCGTCATTAACATACAATGCGGGCGATGATGGGGATCCATCCGCTCCAAAGGAATTCCTTACCAAAAGGATTTCACTCTAGTCAGTCAGTGGAACGAGTCAGAGTAGAAGTGGTGCGCAGTTTTAGAAGTTCCATGTTTCATATAATCACATCCTTCGAATTAGTATGGAGCTTCCGGACTTTATTGATTTGAGTAAAAGCTTCATTGATGATTTGCTAAAGGTCAACGAATGAACTCTGAATCGCACCTTTTATTCATTAATTTGCCGTGAGTGTCATTTGGCCTCATATTTCTCGCACGCGATGCGGCTGCCAATCAATCATCTTCAATATGTATAACATGGGTTATACATGTGGTCTGATCCCTTTATTTAAAAGAGGTGAAGCCAATCTTCACCTCTGCTTACCTTGTTTTGTCGAAGCAACCGAGTGCTTTTTGCTCAAGCCGTGAGGTTCGGGCTTAGACAGAGCTCCAATACAGAAAGCCTCTCTTTAGAAATTTGGATTTGAAATTTGGCTGCTATAATCCCGAGTACCTCTATCGCTAATTCTGGCGAAAATCTCTTATCATAGTTGCCATCGAAACGAGTCTAAGTCTAAATAGTAAGGGTTTACTTTTTAACTATTAAATACAAAGTTTATTATTAAATACAAACTTATTAAAATTTGATTCTATTTTTATCAGTTATTGTATTTACTATATCAACACTACCAACTTGTGGTATTGATAACAAACTGATCAAAGAACACGTAATCAATAAAAAAACTCGAAATTCGCTGACCATCGAATTCGATATCACTGAAAACTTTATGATAATACAACAGTTTTTAAAATAGTTCTAAATTCCTTTAATCCTCATCAATCCATCCATTTTTTACGTAAAATGCAGATCAAGAGATTGTTGAAGACTGAAGATGGTTCATAGTGAACTGATGGTGCATTTGATAAGACTTTTTTAATAGTTAGAAGCAGAATCGATGCGATAAAGTGTTCTGCTTTTAGTTTATTTTTAAAAATTCCTTATTAATATTATAATAGATAATAATGATAAAAAGTAATTGTAGGTGATATCAATAGATAATAATTATATTAAAATTATATTAATTAATAATATTAATAATAAATGGTAAAAAATAACTGAAAAAAGTTTAACAATTATAATTTCTTGGTTAATTGGTTTTGTTGATTTGCCTGTTCTTTTAAAAATAAATTCACGGTTGCAGCTAATGTAAACGCGCAGTAGAAAATACCACACAATCGCCTAGGGGTCCTTAGGCCTCTCCAATAATTTATAAATAAAAGCCTCCTAATTTATTATTAATCGATAGTGTTTGACATATATAATCTTGGATAAGATCGAAAAAAGGATTATTCTTCTACTGCTGGACTGGTTTGCCCCAATGAAGTGGTATAATAATTGTCCAATAATATTGCTTACCAATATTTGATAATATTTGTTGATAGAATAAAATACGCGGAAACTCTTATCCTCGTTTAATTTTCACTCTGAAATGAAATATTCTTTCTCTATTTTCATATTTTATTCCAAATTTTTAAAATATTAATTTTAAAAAATAATCTTAGATAGAAATGTTTTAATGATTTGGTTAAGTGGCGGTTTGGCAGTGAGAAATTTTTGCTATTTTTATCACTTGAGGGTAAAAATATGTGAAGGTTATCAGCGGATTTTTTACTTATAGCTTTTCTCGAAGGCTGGAGGCAGGACTGACGCTAGCTTCAGCAACAACCACTTGGCTATCCTTCATTTGATTAAAGCCAGTTATATGATTTTTGATTAATTATGATGAAATTTTCCTTTAAGCTTTATTCTTTATTAATTTTATAACTAAAATATTCTCGATGGCATCAAACCGCGCCGCTTGGAAGCGTCTTACCTTTGTAGCCATTGGAGCCAGCCTAACCAGTAATGGTGTTAGAAGAAGAAGAAGACTAAAATATTCTGCCTTTACTAGGAAATCAAGAAAGTAATTAGCGATATATCATTATTCCTGGTCAAGTTGTTAGCGCAATTTTTTGGTAAGAAACGGTTGTTTGGCGGTAGAAATACAGGCGGCCACCCTGTATAGCCACCCGGATTTTGTAAATCTTTTTGCTAGACTGATTTTCATTTACTGCCATTTACTGATGCCAGTTTAAGCGAACAAGGTCGATTGTAATCGAATGTTTTATAGTTTACCTCGAGAGATCACCAGCACTACCACCGCTCAAGTTTCTGGTGAATTTGGTGAATTTAAAAAAATAAAGTGGAATTTATATTTGTTCAGTTGCAAGTGATATTGTAATGTATTTCACGTGAATTTTTTGTTTTTTGTCAAGTGCTTACGATAAAATTGCACGCAAATGTTTAGGTTCCGATAATTTTTTACACTCGTATTCGATTTTTTATCTCTTTTCATTTCAATCCTTTTTTTCTTTATAAAGTTGTAAATTATAAATTTCAAAATGATCAAACAACATTTTTAAAGTAAATTATTGAAAATCCAAAACATATGTTTCGCTTATTTTTATTGCCAATAAGCCATCCGATAGAACGGAATTTGAAAAAAGATTACTGCCTCTGCTCAACTGCAGTTGAGAATCATCGGGTGTTTTGAGCATTGCTTCCAACTCGGAAATCCTGAATTCCCGGATTTGAAGGACCTTATTTTTCTTGAATTGTGTGCCTTTATGTAGTGTTGATGCGTAAAGATTTCTAGAAAAGCCTTATACTTAAATATTTATCGTTTTGTCTCGTGCAATAATCTTTTGCAAATGGCACCCTACTGAATGATTTTAGCCATTAACTAAGTAATTAGCATTCATTATCTCTGGTTAGATTCATTCCACCGATGTTGAAAATTTTCTCTGGGCGTCACATAGGGATGCAAGCATAGATCTATCGCCAAGTGACTTTTTAATAGCAGATTTAATAGCAGATTTACTTCCGTCAGAAGCTGAGGCCACGACAAGACAATCTATGCAAAAAGCATCGGCCATCCCTAATCTACAAAAATCGAGGTAAGTTGTGCTAGTGATGTTACTGTCGTCGTCTCATTTGTTGGTTGCTTTGGATTTAATTTTTCATTCTGCGTGAAATATTCTTTATCGATGTGTATGTGCAAAAAGTTAAGCGTTCATGAATATTCAGAGAAAAACAGCTGATTCGACTGAAGATGTTTAATTTTCAGATCCATCGTTGTTGGTTGATCAGAACAATTACGCCTTGTGGGTTGGCTGATCAACAACAACTTGTTTTTCAAATGTTTTGAATAAAATAGAAAGCTTTCTTCTTTTCACTCTTTACAGTCCCATTCACTTTATATATTTTCCTTAAATTTCAGTAAAATTTTATATTTTTATACCAAAATTTTAAAAGTGAAAAGTAATAAATAATAATTTGGGTGTCCTTGGATTTTCCTTCCATTTCATCCTATTTATAAAGGTTTCAAACCATGGAGCTGTACGATTTTTCTAATAGCTATGCGATATCAACAGCTAAAGGCTTATTTCACTGGCCATATGCGTGTATCTGAAGCCGAACGCTTATGTTAAGTTACAAAAATATTGACAATATTTATAAAATACAAGATTGATTCTTCAAATTGATTTAATTAATAAAAAATTCATCTATTTTAAAAATTTTTATTTTTTTGAAGTTTTTTGAAAATTATTGGATCTGTAAAATTCGTCCGAACCACTGATACATTTTGATGGGAATTGAAGCTGAAACGTTGGACCGACAAAAGTTTTTTCTTAAAAAAGTTGAATTATTAAATTGCAACGGAAACAATTACATTTATCTAGTGTAAGTAATGCATCACTTAGGCATCATAGATTAAATAATATTTTATCAAAAAAACGATAAATTTAAAAATTACTACACCACAGTGACTATTTTTTACGACCCGTTTTTTGTGCTTTATGTTTGCTTAAATTCTTCCTTATTATTATTGATAATTTGGTTGCTTATTTTCCTTTACAATTTTCTTTTAAATAAGCATTCACCACTTTTGCTTAAGCACCACCAGTTGTAAGTACGATCAGAAATTTTTGAATCATTTTGAGATGGAAGTCCAGATGGTCACTCGGCCATCTTACATTAATATCACTTATCATTATCATATTATAATATAATCATTTAATATAGATAGTTATAAAACATGCTTGCTAATACCAATTTTATTCTATAAAATTTTTAAAACTCAACCGTAGAATCACAACAAGCTTTTGCGATGTATTCGTTGTGTTTTGTTCTGGTTTTTTTCTAATTTTTTTGTTCTTTGTGAAAAGTGTTGACGGGCGAATTGTTAGTTTGCAAGTTTTATTTTTTACTGAATAATACTAGTTTTCGACGGGGAAAAATAAAGCAATAGATCGATAATTTTTAAAATAATTTTTCAGATTTTCTAAATTGTCAGTGCATATTTTTATTTTTTCCCCTCTACGATTATATAATTTTTTTTTGCGCGGGGAACTACTGTTTGTATAATTTCATTCGATAATTGTCTTTCTTATTTATATAAGTGTTTTATATATATAAAACACTTCAGCTGGCCTAATTCTTTTTTCTTCCTTCAAAGTGACTTTATTTTATAAATTATTCATTTATTTATTTTGCTATTATATTATTATATTAATTAGCTTCGATTTTCGCAAAAATAAAAACAATAACAGATGAATTCTTCGATTTCAAGCTGGTTACCACTGAAATTACCTATGAAATTATCGTCCTTTTGGAAGGTATATTTCTTCCATTTTCTTTTTTTTCCAATATTATTTATGGATCACAAAAAATTTATATTTTTATACATATATTTATATATTTTATATATTTTTATATAAACCATATATTTTTTATATTTGAAATATATTTTTCTTTCATATGCCTTATAGGCCATGAGAGGAGATTCCAAGTTGCGTTATCGACTATTCCCCATAGCTCGATTAAATTAGTGGATTATAAGATGGATTTAGTTTGGATAATTAAAATTTTGCACGGTAATGCGGTAATAAAGATCTGTCAGTTTACCAAAAATATATGTGGATCATCGGCATTGCCGTATTTTTTATGGCTTTCTTAGGTTTTTTCATCCTGCCCCACATATATCTAAAAGTGTTCCACAATAATTATGGAAGAAAGATTGGTATAGATTTTTCATAAAATTTTTGTTATGATATTTGATATCATTCTAGACTCAGACTGATTCAAACACTGAACTGAACAATCAGCGAGCATTGTATACGGAGGATGTGTCAGTGAGAAGAGGAAATGTTACCGTGGATAATTGGCAAATGCGATCATCTGGTGAATGGGTTTACGTTGAAGGTTATTTTTTTCTATCATTTTTCTTTTTCTATCTTTTTGAAAAAATCGTCAAAAATCACTCTATAAGGTACTCTAGGCGTCATCGAATATAAGTTGTTCTTTAAAGAAACTGAAATTAAATTTTAGAATATCTAAAATTTTAATCTAAAATTTTTAGTGCTTCAAGAAGATCGTTCATCACCTGTTTTGGTTCCGATCTCAACCATCGAACCTTTGGATGATACTTCATCCGTTTCGGATGTTTCAGATGATTTGTTATCAGTTTCCGAGATTTTAGATGCTCAATCATTTAATCTTGAACCTGTTCACGAATGTGATTTATCATTACCTATCTCTCCACAGTCACTGTACAACAAAACACATAAACAGTTGCTTTCCCGAGAATCTTTTCATGATGAATCCATAATCCACCATACAGAATCACATGCACAGTTGCAACACACTAAACTTCGTCCATCGTTCTTTCCACATATTTTGAAAAGCATAATCTGTGATTCCGTTAAACCGAAACTTCATAACCAGGAATTGCAATTATTGGTACTTTTTCTTATTTGATATTAATATCCTTTCTAAAATTAAATTTCATTCTTTCTATCATTCGTAGCAAAATTTATATTTTAGGAATATAATACAAATATTATGAAGCCAGTGGCGACTGATTTGAACTCGGTCGTATCGATTGTTGAATCCTTAGAAGCGAGATTATCAGAGGTTAAACCAGAAAAGAATTTAGAAGTGATTATTTCCCATTATTTTTTAACTTATAGGTAGATTATTGCATACAAAAGTGTACTGCAAAAAGAGGAAAAAAATATATTCAAACGTGTCCAAACAGATAGTTAAAATCTTGGAAGTTATATAGAAAGACAAGTTTCTTTAGAAAAGGGTGATTGAACATCCTCTAAAAAAGCTATTGTGCTAATGGAATAGAACAGGTTCGAGGAAATGTTAAACAAATAGAATCATTTTGAAGCAATAGGGTTTGAAAGAGCAAATTCGAATTTCGAAGCGCCAATTTTGGAACTCTATTCCCTTCTGGAGCATTTTGAAATTCCGAATGGTGATCTCCCTGTACTTTCTAAAATATTACAAATATGCATTATTGCAGATTATCACTATGTAGATGGCCAGTTCATAAATTGGAATTTTTACCACTAAAAATTGGAAAATAATTTTTAAGATAAATTCTCGTTAGATTATTGATAGTATAATTATTTACAGAGGCAAGCGCTTACAGTTTCTGACTCTCCGGCTATTAGTGCTTTGAAAAATTTTTGCCAAATAGCCAGTCATATGGGAATCGAAGTACAGGTGGGTCCCTAGTACTTTTAGGTTTTTTTAATGGTAGGTTTTAATGATTCTTTTTTAGTGGTAGGAGGCAGAGTCCGAAACTTGGCGCTTGAGATGTTAATCTAAGCAGCAACTACTCGGCTAACTTTCTAACTAAGTATTCATTTCGAAGTAATATTAGATATTCCCGCGATCAATTATATTTTTTCTGCAATCGTTGATTTATTTTTTTGCAAAAAATTTCAGACAGTTAAATGTGCAAATATGGGTGAGAAAGCGGTTAATTACAAGAAATTAAAATCTCAACAATCTTTTAATAAATTTAAAAGGTTCGATTTTTTAATTCTTTCAAAATCCGTTCTTAATTTTCCAATTTACCGATTTGTTGGAATTAAATCCAGTTCGTCCAAAATCTACACAATTCTATCATACAATTAATCTTAAAAGGACAGTTATTTAATGGATTTTCCAGATTGAATACAGCATGTCGCGTTGCCGCAGAAGGCAAAATTAAGCAACGTTCTAAAAAAGTTGCAAGATTCTCTTCAGGCTTCAATAATAATCGTAAGGTCAATAGATGTTGAACGCAGAAGTTTTACTTCACCCTAAAAATATATGCAAAAGATCAATAGGTCAACACGCCTAATCCACTTTTAAAATGTTTCCATTTATCCTTATTTTTTAATTTTCGTTTATAATAGATTTATTTCGTCGATAATTACCAGAACTCTAAATTTTTGCCGTTCACCTTATACCTATGAAGATTTATACTTCAATCTTTGATAATTTCGCGATAGTTATTTTGCATAATTTTTTTTCTACTATAGAGAGAAAGATTTTTTTTTAAGAGTCCTCACCATTCAATTCTTAAACTCGTTCAGCTGGCTTGTCTCATTGGGTAATATGCCGGAGAGTCCCTTGACGATAGAAAGACAGCCGAGCATCACCCTGATTTTTATGTAGGTTTACTCCCGCGGGGAACCGAATTTCAGCATCAGCGTTCCAAATCGAGCAATAATCCACTGAGCCATTCTATCCCTATCTCAAAGAGAAAGGGTAATCGACAAATAACAATCAAATTTTTATTTTACGAGATATAATTTGAAAATTAAATTAGTAATTTTTAATAAATTAGAATTTTTTAAAATTTGTAATTAAAAATATATAAATTTAATAAAAAATTTAATAAGTAAAACTTAATAAGTAAAAATGTAGTCATTGTAGGTTATTAAAATATAAATAAATTGTAAAATTCTAACTCATTTATCAATTAAAAATTTGATAAAAAAAGATAAAACTAAAAATGCTTGGAAGAAAAGGATTTTTTTAGTGGGTTAACGAAATTTCAATATTTTTGCAGGAATTTGTAGATCTTTAGATTTTGCAGATCTTTAGATTTTGCAGTATTTATATGGTTTTGCCTTATTCTATCATTTACCTATCATTTTTTAGACGTCCATTTATTTATATATATATATAATTTATATAATATATTTTAAAGAATTTTCTGGAAATTAATTTGCTTCAAAAAAAATGTTCTGAATTTCTGACTTATGTTATTTATTAGTACGAAATCAGTTTAAATTTATTTTTTGACATGGTTTCTAATTATAAATCTATCAAATTTATTTATTATTTATCCAGTTATCAAATTTATTATTTATCTAACTATCAAATTTTCAGAAAAATGTAAAATAAGCAAAAATTTTCTAATGAGTGATTTTATAAATTTTAATCCAGTGATAATAAAAAAAAAATTCACTGAAATTATCGTCCTATTTACTCAGTTGCATAGTTTTCACGAAAGGTTTTCGCTTATCATCGGTTCTTAAAGTTTCAAGGAACTACTGTCTTCGCACTTCTTCATATTTTTATTTTTGAGACTGGTTTAGATATGTGAAAACCGTATATATATATGTTTTTGGCCAAGGTCTTAGTATCAAAATCCCTTTCCATGAAAATCCTGAAAAGGATCTTCTGAATTCTCAGACGTAAAAAATAGAAATTTAGCTTCTTCAGAAGTAGAATTTTTCAAAGAATTTTCTGCCAGGATCATATCATTTATTTAATTTTTGTGGAAGTTTTTTTGATGTTTTAGTTACATTTTAGTATAATTCGAGTATAATTCAATTGGTTTGGCATATAAATTAGGTGTTTTTTTCCTATAAGATTTTAAAACGGAAATTTAATATTTATTTTTTTCATATATTATATTCATAGATTTTATAAAAATATTAAATCGGTTGAGATCGCTTCCATTTTGTTCATCATTTCATCATTTTTTCTTTATTAGTTAATACTTTTAGCTTATCATTTGTGATAAAACTAGTGGAAGTAGAGGGAGTGGTGGTATCTCAGACAGCATTAATATGAAAAAAAGTGGGTTATCGACTAAATTCCTATCCAAAATTCCTTTTTTTTGCATTTTTTGGCTTTATTTGAATCGTCGTGTTGCTTACTCTCAAAATAATTTAATTCATTAATTTTATAAGACAAACGTGACGTGAAAAGCTTTGAAAGTATTATGTAAAACCATCCATCGCTTTTTCGTAAGAGTTGGTGGCTGATTAATGTAATTTACAAAACCCTCGAGATTTAGTCGGTTTTGATTAACAAATTTCAAAAGTTATAATTTTATAATTCTGCCTTAATCAAAGTTTGATCTCATTTATCTTCTGAAACGTGCAGAATTGCTTTAAATTTGCAATTTTTTTAGGAATTCATCTCGCTTTTTTTTCATAACAAAACTTTATTTCTTATATTTGCCCTTAAATTACCTTTCAGATTTCTCCCAAAGAATGAGGATTACCTGAATTTTTAGTTTTTATTATTATTAATTTGCATTAATATTTGCAATATTGGATTTTCGTCATTTTTTAAGTAACAAATAGTCGTTATTTATTAAGTAAAGCATTGAAGATATTGTAAAATATAAAAGATTAGAAATGAGTATTTTTTTTCGTATTAATATTTCATATTTACCAATAATAATGCAATTTATCAATTTGTTCGTTTTTTACTATGACGGTTTTATTTAGTAAATGTTTTGTGGATGTTTTCCTCGTACAATGTCTATTATTTAAGCCTCATTTTCAAGTACCTCTTATTTTTGGTTAATATAATTTTTTTGCAATTGATTACATAATTAATTGACTTTTTCTTCATTTTTATAATATTTTTGTATTGTATTGTATAAATTTTATAATAATTAAATGAGTAGATTCAGGAGAATAAATTTTTTCGTTCAGGGAATTTCAATTTCATTTGTTTTTTCCCAGGTAGTGAATTTTTTTGCAAAAAATTAGGATATAATATTAAATACATTCGAAATATATTCGAAAAAATAATAAATTAATGCCAAGTTAGATCGGCGAATAATTTTTTATTTTGTGATTTGTTAGTCAAAATTTAGCATTAAGCAATGCTTTACATTTCGACAGTAGAGGATTCATTACGTACATTATATACTAACCTAGTGGCCATTGAAATATATAAGGCATTTAGGCAGAATTGGCCTTTGCTGAGCTATAATTGCAAAATTAGAAGCAAGTTTTACAGTTGGTGATAATGGGAGTAGCATGGATGTATTAGCTTTTCGCATTTGAAATTAAGGCTAACGAAGTAAAATACATAAAATACTCCTTTGACGATTTCCTTCATTGTACCTGCTAGAGCATTAAAGTTACATGCATTACATGCAAATAGGTCTCAATTCCGATCTGGTTTCACGGTGTCTGGTCCTGTTGAGTGCGAAATTGCATCAATGGTCTTATTGAATCCAATATATGCATTATCGCAACAATAACGACTGATTAAGTGAAAAAAAATGGTAAGACGGTGATCGTAAATAATAAATAGTAAAGTGCGAAGTAAACGCATGTTTTAGCATTTTATATAATACGGTGGATTGATTGCTAAAGCAAATAGCAAACGAACCGATCAGATGAGAATGAACAATTTCGTGATAAGAAATGATTGAAAAAAAGAGCGAAATAAAAAACTTGATTCATAATTCGCTCAATTATTTTTTCATTGGAAAAAAATTCTGGAATTTCTTTTGTCGTTTTGGCTCAGCTGGTTGCAAGCATAAACCACTCGATCCGGCACCTCACCTGAACAGTATTCTTTTTGCACCATCTAAGCCCATATATCACAAAAAATGAAACAATTTCCTCCATTCTCATCTTTTTTGCTACATCTGAATATTTCCTATCACTTTTCATAAAGCTCGAGAGATGGGAATCTGGATCAAAAATTTTATCACTGCAATAGTCAAATGGTCACTTTGCATCTCGATTTTATAATTATCTTTCAGGTAATTCTAGCGCTTTTTCGAATTTATGACGCATAAGGAGCTTGACGAGCTATGGGCTTATACAATGAATGAAGTAATGGCATCTATCATTTTCAGATATGGTGACGATCGAAAGGCCATCTCATTTTTTAGCCAGCAGAGCCGACGTAAAACAGGTGTACCTGCTAAAATAAAAAGAATCGCAAGGATATGATATCTTGCGAGACATCGGCTGAAATTGGAAGCAATAAAGCAAGAAATGAATGTAAAAGCGAAAATTTTTTTTCACAAAAAATGAGGTTTTAAAAGGAGGACGTAAAAACCCCCGAAATTGCCTTTAGGGAAGCATACCGAGGGCATCGACTGAGCTTACAAAGATATAAGGCATAAGAGCCCTTTTGGTTTTCCTGCCAGCTTTGAGTGGCGAACCTCTAACCGAGATTTGCGAGCTTAAAACTCACAGCTCTCAATGCCCCTACCATAAAGTTGGTGGTAATTCAGTCGCTTGGATCTTATGCTTCACGTTTTAGCGACGATTTGCATGACATCCATTTTCAAAACTTTCATAAATTTTTTATTGCAATGATAAATTCAATGATAAATTGCCGGCGGCAATTATATCTTTTATTGTAGGTTAAAACATGAAATAATAGAAATCCATCGTTGAAGATAAGCCTAAGTATTGCATATTTTTATTAATAAAGCTCTTTCCTATTTATTACGTCTTCAAGTGGATGCGTGCAAATGTTGACGGTTCTCGCGAAGGAACAATAAAATACTGATTTTAAAATAATTGCTTAAGATGTATTCGATAGAAATATGTTTGGCGCGTGCAATTTCTACATTAAATTCCCCTTCTAATACGACATTATTGTTGTTATTTTTACTGACCTTTTAGTTTTTATCGCGTAAAGTGTTGTATAATAACGAAGAAGAAATGGGAAATTTTTACGATTTCTATAGAAAGATTTATAGAGAAAAGCAAAAATCTGCTATCACAGCCATATAAATAATGAATTTTTAGATAATCTTCCCTCCATCTTATCGCCATAAAAATGCAAATTCGCTAATTGATCATTGTCAACTTTTTTTGTCATTATTCTATCGCAAATCTATGATAGCAATTTGGCCCAACGATTTTAGGTAAAATCTTTTAGTTTATAAATTCTCATTTTGCTATCAACGATGATCTTTAATATACAAAAAAAATTCATTTGAAAAAATTCATTTGAAAGATGTTTGTATAGAAAACTTATTTACATTTGTATGTTTATTATTTTTTATTGCTATGTAAAATTGTTGACGCCGTTAGAGCAGTTCGTTGGGGAGATGCATGGCGTTAGAAACATAGGCCAATTGCAAGATCCACAGGGATGATAATTCCACTCATTTTGGAGTGAACAGAACCCTTGCCTCTCGGCAGGCCAGTCGGAGATGCTTTCCACTCGGATCTCCATTTATATTTGGTTATTCTTCCTTAACAGCACTCACCATTTTCATTTTGGCTGATTTTCATTTTACCGATAAAAAGTTGAAGTAAATTTATTGCCAGAGAATCGGCTGAATAAAATTATCAACAAGTTGGTCCACTCTTCTTTCGGATTTAATTTTTTCTGCCAAAATTGCAGGGAAAGCCGAACCATGAGCTGCTGTGGGCCGAAACAGTGCACAATCCAGGAGCCATACTTGGCCGTTTAGTCCACATCTAGAAATCTGATAATTGTTAAATACTTATCAAACAAAATATTCGGATTAATTTTATTTGCCTGTCCTTGTTACATTGAATGTTTATCTATAATTTTGATATTAAATCGAAGTAAAAATTTATAAGTGATTGATTGACCTTTTCCAGTACGAAATTCGTAAAGGTCAATCTCGAAACTCATCTGGCCCAACCCACCGATAAAGATATATAAAAGGAATCGCCCTATGTGGATTCATCGATGAGCGATGAGCGAGGCATTTGTGCGGTGTACTGCTTTTATAGTGTTTGTATCGTAATCCATTTAGTCGTTTTGTATTATATTGGTGCGGTGTGTGGTTCGGATTTTGGTGAAGGCCCAAGGGTAGTAGCATATAGAACTGAGCACTAATGGGGTACCAAATCTCCGAAGAGGATAAATGAGGATAAATGAGATGGTCTGCTTCTTGACCATAAGTTAGTGTTGCTTTTTTGTCGTGTGGAATTATTTTCTTCTGTTGTCTTTTGGTTCGTCTGGTTCCATATTATGAATGGAGCTTTCTTTGCAAAAGAGAATTCTTTCTCGAGAACCCGTGGTATATATTTTTTATTAGGAAATTATTTTCGGGGTTATTTCAGTCATATTCGCTTTATATTTCGAAAATATTTGATAAATGAGTTGATAGCCTCGTGCTGTTGACTCTCATGCTGGGATATTTCCAAACAGAAAGAGCCGATGGGATAGTTTCAGGTTAGGAGGAGGTCGAGGACAAACTTAGGACAATAGATTTCGTAAAGGAAGTAACGGGATATTAGCGAAGAAAGAAATCAGTCGAGTATAAGTATTTGCGATGAAGAAGCAAATCACCAAGTATATGCAATTTTCTCAAGTTATAGGAGAACCCACTTAAGAGGTTGATCAAGGTCTTTAAGTTTTTAATTGTTCCTGTGTCGACCTTGTTAGTATTTTCCTGGTACTGAATATTGAATTAAATATGGTTGAAAAGACATTGAGTTTTCATTGTGAGGAAGTGGTAATGGTCTTTGAAGCTGAATGAGTAAATTTTCTCTTAATGTGGAATACGCGGTATGCCTACGGGAACATCCTTTTTAGTTTTTAGTTTATTGGTTGTTTAAAAGCGGCTCTTTCGCTTACAGGGTCACTGGAAATACTAGTGGGTCCCTTCCACCTATGGCACGGCACTTCGGTCTAACGATGGGTCCATTTCCATTAAGGATGCATGGTTGATTTCAATAAAGCGTCGCTTGATCTCGCTATCGTTAGGGATATGAAAAATACCTTTAAAAGAATACGTTTAACACTGCGGTATATCCGATTGGTTTGTGGTTTCAATAAGATATTTAAATATTTAATATTTTATATTTCAGGACATTATTTTCTGGTTGAAGGCGAATTATTCATTCAAGCGAATATTTCTAAAACATCGTAGCGAAAGAGAAACTCATAAATATCACGGTGATTTTTTGTCGGTTTTAACATATCTAGCAAAAAAATTAGCTGAAGTAAATTCCGGTAGATAATTTGCTCGAATCTGCCAACATCAGCAAAGTCGATCGTTGAAAGGAATGTTTTTTCAGGTTTCCATGGGAAATTTATTTAACGGATCGAGAATGAATCTAACTAAAGGTAGGTAAGTTTTCAACTAAAGTATTCAGTATGTTAAAAGATCTCGAAGAAACGCCAATTACTTTGCTGCTTTTTTTGAAGAATTATGAATGTATCAGTGGAACCATGCAGAAATCACGGATGATTTAATTCGCCTAAGTGGTTTTCATTGGAGTGATTCATTTTCGTTCTCAGCCTTGGGTAATTAAATCACCGAATCGGTGGACCAAAGCGTGGAGCTTCGTTGCTATGTCGAAAGAAGATTGGCGTCTTTCAACTTTTGAAGTGTTGAAGTATTAATTTTGAAGTATATGTGACTTTCGACTTTTATCAGCTGGATATATCCGAATGGCTCTGTTCGTTTCCCCCTCTGCCACAGTTTTCGCCTGTTATTTAGTATATTAAGATATTGCACATCGCGTTTGCTGTGCTTGTACTTGAATCATCCACTGATCCTAATTCGCGAGTATCGGTGGTGGTTCCGCTTTTATAAAGGCATTTACAGTCATGAAAGGTTGTTGCTTTTGTAAAGACAGATTTTTTGGTAGAGATTCATTGGTTTTTTGTCGTACTTACAAGCATTTTAGATTTTTTATTTCTACAAATATTTTTTTTGCCCGGTGGAACTCTTGAATTTGTGGAAATAAAGAATAATGAAATAATAGATTAGTTCCAAAAATTTGCTTTCAAAATAAGAATCCAAAAAAATAAAGAGTATTTTTAAATATCTTCAAAGACAATAAGCGGGCACTGAAAATCGGAGGCTGGGGCAGTGTCTAAAAATCTTGCCATTTGTGCATCCAGAGCACTATGTTACATCCTCCAGCCCAGGCCTGAATAAGGCGAGGGCCTATTGCCCAGTAGTTGGTGCTGCAGAACATGAGATGAGAGCAGAATTAAATCCAATATGAACTGAAAATTTCTCAAAAAAATATTTTTTAAATTTCTATGGATATAACAAAATAGCTTCTAAAATTTAAAAAATTTTTCTAGGAAAAATTAAAAAGTTTATTTTTTTCAAAACGGACAATTGCTGATAACTAGTGCGTTAACCAGTTGGTTTTTAGTCAGGAAAGATCCCTTGAAGTTGATAATCCGATTTAGGGATTCGGTAAATTCGAAAGAAGACATCTGGATGCATGGCAATGTGGCTAACAGATGGTTCCCTAGGCAAAACAAACTTTGCAGTTGTCAAAGGCCTGTAAATCTAGCACAAACGGCATTAGTGATTGCCAGCCATCATAGAGAGCGGAAGGTTCAACCATTTGATAATTCGAAAGACCTGCTAGAAGTCCTTTTAAGCACTCGCAAGGTTTCCATTTTTCGCTATTTCATGTTTGCAAATTTATCAGACGCCTCTGCTCTGTGGTATTCACTAGGATGATTAAGTAGGTATCGGATTGATTTAAAATATAGTAAGAATGAGGACATAGCGAGGGTTACGGTGTTTTCTAATATTTGCAATTTAATATTTGCGGTTTTTTTCTGAGAGCGCTGGTTGTTTAGGCTCGATCTGGAAACTTCACGGACAAATTTTAAGGCACTTTACGGAGTTACTTGGCGTTTTACATCGGCGATCCGAACTGAGCAACAACCCATTTGATCTATTCAATCTCGTATCACCTTGGCCATGCGGCTCACAGTGATCCACCAGTTTGTCGTTCAATTCGGGGCGCCGATGGTGAAGTCCCGTTACCCACAGCAGTAAACCTGCTGAAAGGTCCAGATGATGGCGATCCCCCTGAACTTATGTCGTCAGGGGATTCTCTAGCATGTTTATCTACTGTAATAGGCCAGCGTAGGGAGTCTGGCGGCGAGGGCCCTCAAAAAAATTACTTGCCCATGCAGCGAAGTGATGTTTTGGACCGATTCGGGCTTAAGTGGTCCTCAATTCTCGGTGGCAGTTGCTGGCGCCAAGCCATGCATTCTTACATTGTATATCCATATTAGAATCCTCGTCCAGTAATTAGCAAATTGGATTGCTCGCAGCCACTATGCGCCATTTCCATTTTGCGCTAATTTCTTGTATTTTTCTTTGCATTTCCGTTCCTTTTTGTTGCATTCTTTGTTTCTGAGTTATTTTTGAATTATTCTTTTTATTTCCCCTCTTATTTGGCTTGTCCATTTTTTTCAAGTGCCTGCATTGTATTAAATTGTTTTTATGAATATTTTTCGTAGAATCGATTTCCTATAATTTTATGAACTGTTACTGTTATCGTTAAGGACTGCTTGTTTTTTATGTATGAGCATTCGCTAAAAACTGTATTGTCTGTGGAAACATTTGTATAAACATTTGCTAAAAACGATATCAAATATTTAAAAAATCACGGAAATAATTTTTCAAAGGTTGATCCACTATTGCGAAATAAGAAGAGGAACTTGGGTTGGGGGTGTGAGGCACTTCAACTCAGGGTGATGCTTATTTGTGTATAAACAGGAGGTGCATAAAGAACTTTTCAACGTGCAAGATGGCTAAAGGACTCGTTTTTTGAAACGTTGGTAGGTCCAAATGTGGAGGTTTTTTAAAGCTCGTCTTAGGTTAGCAAGTTATAAGGGTTTCTGGCAGCCTGTGGCACCCTTGTCCTCGTGCACAAAGCGGGTTCTAGTTACGCCATTACAGTTGCTCATTTATTTATAGGTAAATAAATGTAAGATTCGTCTATATTTATTTATTTATTTGTTAAACAAAACAGCATTAAACCACAAAAATCTAATACATTGCTACGAAAACTTTTAGGTGAAAGCATCTTTATGTCTTTTCATTTTCAATTTTCTCATCGAATTCCTTAAAAGCTTTTTCTGAAATGTCGTTGCTCTCGTCTTTCACTTCCATGATATCAATTACTTCAGGTACATAAAACTGCAGCATATTTTTAATACCAGATTTCAAAGTTACTGATGAACTCGGACAGCCAGTGCAGGATCCCTGAAAATAAATGGCTAGAAAGAAATTGGATATTAATCGAAACTGACTGACCTGTAATTTAAGGTGGACAACACCGTCAATAAAGCCTTTATAAATAACGTCGCCGCCGTCTTCTTGCACCATTGGCTTAATTCGAGATTCAAGCAGTTCTTTTATCATGGCAACAGTATCATCATCATCGGAATGAATCTCTAAAAAAATACCGGATATCAAAAATAATTATCCATTCAAACTTATCAAAGAACTGCTAAATACAAAACAATAAAATTGTAATCTATTCATGTTGTAATAAACCTGTATCTTCAGGGCCACTAGGTAGATAGTCGTCCACTATAATAGAACGTCCTGACTGCAAAAAGTCCATTATTGTAGAAAATATTTCTGGCTTCATCAAAGACCAATCCTCTTCCTCATTCTGTTTAGTTATTGTTATGAAATCTTCACCAAAAAATACACGTCTGATTCCACTAACTCGTAATAATTGCCTGTAATAATGTGTTGGAAAAAGGACCGGTGTGCCCAAAATTGCTGTATTTTGCGTAATCCTCATTAAACACACGCCTAGGAATCCGCTATTACTTTTGACACTCTGTTTCAATATTTACTTTTGCCTTAGTTGGGAGTTTGTTAGACCTTGTGTCCCTAGTCAGATACTATCTTAGATACTACTATAAATAATTTCCTCAAAATCTGTTACAGCACACCTTCGAAATTTCTTTTTATGTTCTTTTGTTAAAATTTCATGGCATTTCTTTAAGCTCTCTGGTAAAGTGGAAGAATCTAAGACGAATTTGTCAAATGCAACTGTTGCTCTAAATAACATGGCCCAACCCAATATTTTTGAAGTTGTGCCATTCTTTTATACAAGAATCACAAAACTCCCGTATTACTTGCGAGATATTGACTCGCCATGTTAAAACCCTCTAATATTCCCTAAAACCTACCATATATTGTGAAAAATTTCCTCAAACCACTTTAAATATCCTTTTAACTCCAATGAAATTTTATTCTTTTTCCATAAGATTAAGCTTTTTTTGCTACCAATTGTGGTTCCTTAGCATATTCCGCCATGAACCGTCAAAATAATCGAAATTCACACCAACATTGCTAATGGGCTAATCTTCGCTTCTTTGATAGAATCGAACTGCAATGTACCTCGACCTTGACCAAGAATTGGCATCCCCGGTACAAACTTTAAAGTTAATGGATTTGGCGTTTCCAACACTTGGATGAAAATTTTACGTGCTGAAACCGTATGGAAAATTAGAAATCCAGAAAAAGATCCATAAAATTTATCCATAAAATCCATTAAAAAATTTTACAAAAAAATTGCAAAATTCAATGAAATGAAAAATAGCATAGATTTATTAAAAGCATAAAAACTTCTCTTCCACTAAGAACAACTAAGAAATTGTATATTGCATCGGATAAGTACTATAAGTACTAAATACTTATAATTGGATTTCTCACCAAATGGTCTCAAACTTAATGACCAATGAAATCTTGAAATGTCATGAAGACTTCTGCCACAGCGAAACGGAGTAGATGACGCCGACAATTAAGCAAATAGCTAATATTAACAAATTTTAAATGGACTCGCTCCACTACCTATCGGTAGGATGAGACAATTTTGCCACAAAGGCCATTTGCCATTGTATTTAATTTTATATTTATTTATCATAGATTTATGGATGTCAGGAATAGAGGTTGACCGCGATGTTTAAAACATTTAAATATTTAAACATTTAAACATCGAACTACACGACGATAACTGGAAAACTTGATTTTGAAAAAAATGATACCCGGAATGTATGGTGTCCAGGGACAAATTTCCAGCAAACCAGCATGAAATTTGATGCTTTTCGTAAAGAATCGTTGCATAGCGCCACTTAATAACACAACATAATAATAAATATTTTTATAACGACCACCACTTCCGATAAATCAATCCAAAACGAAATTCAAATATTACGCACCGCTTACTGCAAAAATTAGCTCAGCTGAACTTATGCACTATGTTTAGATGGAACCTAAGAAAATAACGACATTCTCCCATAGAGTTCCAATCGAATCCTTCTGATATTAGTTCATAAAAATAGATATTAATTCTGCTCGAACAGGAATGATTGGTTAAAGCAAATAATAACTTTCACATCCACGCAATTTATTTAAAAAATCTCACAAACAAAACAATAATTCGTATTGTAAAGAATTACCATCGTAAACATCAGCATTCGAAATATAGAAAATTTAAAGAAAATTCACCTTTTAAATAAAACATTCAACTGAAACTTATAATAAGAGATAACAATATTTCAATAAAAATCTGCTGCAATTTCCATTCACTGTATTTTTATTTCTTTTTTACTGGCCTTTGACAACAATTTCATTTTTCAATTTCAATCTAAAATTTGATGGCAATTAATTTATAAAACACCAAACATTCTAAGAAAATTCCACGAACATCATTTCTAGAATTCAAAAATTTTTTAAAACTAAGTCGAAAAAAACGAAACAGCAACAAACAAATGAAGCATAATTTGAAAAAATTTAAAGAAATTGTAATTCATTTCAATCCAAGCAATTCAACATCAAAAATCAAAGTGGAATTTGGAGGTATAGTTCCGGGTACTCCACGACTTCCGTAACCCATATCTGGACTTATCGTTAGCTTTGCTCGCTGCCCAACCGACATCTGAATTCCATTCAGTAGATAACTTCATAAATTTCTATCCTAATTACAGCGTTTGCACTAATTTTACAATTTTAAGTTCATTTTTGAAATTTTGAAGTTTCGTTATGCAAGTATCAACGTCATGCAAAATTTTTCTGATCGATTCTTTAAAAAAATCAGTAAATTTGTAATAATTTTGTCAGAATATGGATTTGGACTCTACAAAGAAACTTGTAACTGTTCTGAAAATCCTTAATTATTTTAACAAACAAATATTTGAGAAAAATGCAACTTTTTTTTATGAGCTCGAGAATTATCAATTTAAAAAGCAAATGATCGTTCAAAAAAATCATCGGAGAATTTTAATTTAAAAAAATTACTAAAAAAATTACTTTAGCGACGCCTTCATCCCATCCTTTAATAACCTGACCTTGTCCAATGTTAAATTCGAACGGTTTACCACGAGCTCGAGAACTATCAATCTAAAAACCAAATGATCGTTCAAAAAATCGACAATAAAATTCATATAAAATACTTTGAAAAAATCCATTCAAAATTGCGCTGAAAAATTTTTACTTCACCTAGAAGAATAGAAGATATACAATTCAATAAGTTCAGCATATTGTCTCATAATTTCATCACTAGAAGCAATAATTATCGGAACAATCGTATTTAACCAGAAATGATGCTTCTGCTCTAACTATTTCCGGGAAGGAAACTTATAAGATTATCCATGAAACTATCTAAAATATATGTGCTAAATTCATTGCTGTGCATTTTTATAGATTTTAATTTTCTTTTTATTTTTTCCATCTAACGCCAGTATATAAACATTTAGCTTTACCTTGCTTGGTTCTTCTTTTAAAAAATATATAAACACGATTAAAAGAAAGAACAGTGAATTGTACAAGCGTAAATGTTTAAGAATTTGAACGAAAATAAATAAGAATGAACGAACCTCTTTGCCATTTTGCAGAGTTAGCACGTAATGGCAAATAACTTTTTGTCCTTTCTTCGGAAATGTCGCCTCTAAAATATTTCTAGAAAGATTAAAATAAAATATATTGTAAAAAATTAGTAAGAAGCATTACCATCTCCAGCTTTAAGAGTTTCAATTTCCACTGGCATAGTTCTCTTTTACTTCTCTAAAATAAAAAATAATTTTAAAATAATTAAAATTCGCATAAACTATAAGCGAAAATTCATTTTTTCAGATTTCCAGGTCAATCGTTTAACCCAAAGAAATGTACTGCTTCGGTGCTCGGGATACTGGCGACAGGAGCACTTTGACTGGCTCTACTGACTGTTAGGAAGGGGTAGTGTGGCCCAATGCTCGCCACAGAGATTATTGTCGTGATTTATCTCCCAGGCAGCTTATCAGCGCACAACAGTCAGTCTCTATCCCAATATGAGTCTCTGCTGCCTTCTAATCTAGCGTGGTCTTAACGGAAATGCTCACTGCCTAGCACTTACGCACCGAACTCCTCACTGAACACTTTTTGCACCAATATTCACGATTTAAATAACGATTTTTATTTCTCATTAAGCATTAATTAAAATAAATTTACAAGTAAATCGCCTAAATTAAACCTTAAAAACGAGAACGAACGAAACTAATAGTGAAATCCAACAAAAATATATATGAGAAATTTACGGACCTACGGATAACGAAGAAAAACGTCACATAAAAGCCCCAACCAAACTAACCGCGGCCGATTTTTAGTAATGCAGAAAGAAAAATATTTTCGAAAAAAAAACCGGAAAAATTTATATATAAAAATAAAAATAAAATAGGAAATCGTCCACACAAACCAATTAATTAAACTTTTCTACAAAACAAATTTCCCTTTTAACTTTTTAAATTTGTAGAAATTTTAAAAACGATTTTTCGATTTTAAATTTGCTAAATTTGCAATAAAAATATTATTTTCATTGGACAAATATTTCAAAAAATTACTTAGCAAATAGCTTAACAAACGTTAATAAATAAATCAATTTTGAACAGAAATAAAAAATTAAACAAATCGATGAAAAAAGATGGAAACGAGTTTTTAGTGCATTTCGAGGACAATTAATCTTAAAACGTTTCCCTGACTTTTGAATTCAAAAAGGGAAATCCGTAGAGCTGTGTGTGCAGCTGTGTGCACAGTGCTTGTTCGCGTGCGTCCGTGTGCAGTTTGTGCGTGCGGTGAGCGGCTGTGTGCAGCTTCGTGCGTCTAAGCGCGATGTATGTGAGCATGTGGAACTGTGTTCGTGTGCCAATTTCAAAAGTAGATTTGTGATTATTGAATGTTTTTAATGCTTTAGAGAATCCTTTATGTTCAAAAAATTTTCGCACTTGGAGGTTCGAGAAACGAAGGAAGGAAGTAACTACGTCCCAATTTTTATAAAATTTCCCCTTCTCCTCTTTTCGGCAAGTTTTTCCTGTTCGTTGAATTAGCATTGTTTATAATCGAAGTTCATCATCGATCTTTCGTCTTTCGCGTTGACCTTGCGTGCATCGATTTGACCCCGGTTTGACCTTTTTATGTGAATTATTTAAAAAATTTGAACATTTTTTCAAGGATGTTTTTGAAAGATGTTCTTCACCAAAAGTTCATTTGTTTTTTATTATTTTTATTATCAGATTTTTATTTTTATCCTTTTTTTCATGTTACAAAATTTTATTTCAAACTTTTTAGTTTCGAAATTGCTTTAAAAAAAATTTTTTTGTGAAATTAATATACAATAAATTATTTAATAATCTCTCAATTTATTTTTTTATGTGTCTGTTTGTTTGTTTTCTCTTTCGTGAGGGCACACTAGTCGACTGATTGTTGATTGGATGATTATCTCGAGCCCCCTGAATTTCGCCTTCGAGAGGAGTAAACCTTTTATTAGAGAATTCCGAGCCGTTTCTAGAAACTTCCTTCTCTTATCGTACTTGCAATCACTTTAATGAGCCCAATTCTGACTTTGTTTTGTCTATTTTCTTCCTTTGCGATCGTTGCAAGTGAAATTTGATATTTTATATTTATTCGTTTTCCTTTTTCATTTGATTATTCTTGTTGTCATTATTATTAAAATTAATATTGTTAAAATTATTATTATTATTAAAATTATTATTATTATTAATGGCAGATGTCACTGTTTTTTATTTTTCTAATATTTTACTACCAGTTTTATTAATAATAGTTAATTGCAACCATTATTTTGATATAACGATGTCTTAGAAAATTTTAACTTTATAAAATGTATTCTTTTTGTAATTTTTGCTGCAAACATTTTGCGATTCTCGGTGTCTTCAATTGCTAGGAAGAAGGAAGAATATTATTGCGACATTATTACCGCTAACTCGTTGTATGTGTCGTTGTATGTGTAATGTCTGCAGGATCGAAGTTCTAAGGCAGTGTCGATGTTTTTCCCGCATCCCCCTGTTTCCAGCAAAATATTCCCTCGAGTCATTCTGCCTAAATATTTACGAATTCAAACATAAATATCTGTTGTAATGTGATAAACTTTTGAAATAATGGAATGTAGATAGTGGAATTTTTAGATGATGAAATTTCTCGTTTTTAAAAATGACGAAATACTTTCGTAATACTTTACAACTGATTGGTTCGTGTGGGTTTTGCGGTTTTCTGAAAACTTTTACTGATAATAATTTTATTTTACTGATAAGTTTACTGATAATTCTTGTTGAGAAAGTTATCTAACTAATGATTATTAAATATCTTCAATATTTTAGATTATATTGCTAAGTTTGTATGCAAAAATTTGCGAAGAATTGCTTCTTCATTATTTCTGCTTTATATAAAGAACACTTCAGCTGACTAGCAAATTGGGTTCGTATCATTTTTTTGTTAAAAGATAAAATGAAGGAATCATGTCCAAGATAGAACCATTATTAAGTTAAAACTCTCAGTTTTCATCATCCAATATGCACACCTTTTCTGGTTTGGCTCATTCATATCACTAAGGTGATTCATTTTCCTGATGTGGCCTAATGTCCAATAGGAATTGAAGTCATTCCTTTTTCCTTTATTCTCCTTTCCTTCATTAACCATTTTTTTCCAGTTGTAATTTTTTAAATTTCAGGATAGTTGTATGCTGTCCAGCAAAATCGTTATACTCGTTCTTCATTTACGGCCTCCTTAGCATTTCTTTATTTCACAAATCATTAATTGATTTATAATAATTATGGTAAGGATTGATTTGAGGTTTTTTTATTGGTGTTAAGTGATGAAATGAGAAGATTAGATAATGAAATTTTATTAAACTTTTCTTCTCAAATTTCCTTTCAAATTTTTAAATTCTAATAATTATCTGAATAATTTTTAAATTGCTTATCTTTTACTTTTACTTTTTTTTATACATAAATTATTTTGCAGTTCTGTGAAGATAAAATATCTGGAATCCCAAAATTTGAAATCAATTTTGATAGTCAGAATGAGTCGTTGGAAGAAGACTCATCGAGTTTCACCATCTATTCGTCCTCTTCAAATCCAAGTCCAGCTTCGTCGATTGTTGAAGATGAGCATTTTTTTGAAGGTACATCTTTAATTTGTTCACGTTGAATTCACATCTGAATACATATCTGTTTGTTCTAATAGAACAGGCTAATTTAGATATTCGTGCCAATTCATGGGGAATCGAATATTGTTCCTCAATTTTTTTTTTTTTAATAGGAGCTGAAAAACTTTTGGAGATATGGTTTCATAAAGTTGATTCGACCTCTAGTGGATCTTTGCGTTCAGTTCCACATTTTGAGTTGGTTAATATGCTTCAAATAGCCAAATGTCATATACTTCATATGAAAAGTAATGAGTATTTAGATAGTTACATATTGAGGTACGTGTTTTTTTCTTTTTATTTAAATTTATTTGTAGTAGTAATGGAATTTGAAAAAAAGTTACAAGAAAACTCTTTGAACTCAATATTAACTTTTTATATAGTGAAAGTAGTATGTTTGTCTCGGACAATCGAATAATATTGAAAACATGTGGCGAAACACGTTTACTTCACGTAATTGATGTGATTTTACATTTGGCGAAACAGTACGCGAATCTTACTGAAATAGCGAATATATTCTATTCACGGAAGAATTTTTTGCGACCTGAAAGGCAGCCTTATCCTCACCATTCATTTGAAGATGAAATAGAATATCTTAATAAATATTTCAAAGGTTAGATTATTCGATAAAGCGACTTGCTGAAGTCTGATCTTGAGGCCATTATTAATAGACTGTTCTGTGAAATCTTTAACACTTAATTTTTAATTTTCTGAGAGTTTTTGCAGTTTCAGTTCAAAAATGGATTATTTTTATTTTTTAGATGGTGATGGATTCACTATGGGATATTCACTTCCAGACAAATGGTTCCTTTATACTCTTAAAGAACCAGAATACACTATTCACCATCCAGATCATACATTAGAAATATTGATGAGTCATTTACCTGATGAAATCTCCAATGCATTTACTAGTCTTTCAAAAAATGGACGAAATCTAACACTGGTACCAGTTTTAAGTTGTTTTATAGGTAGATAAAAAGAGGAATGAGTGTATTAATTGGAACATGTTACATTAATATATATTAATATATCAAGTGGCTAAATATCATTATGTAATGATAACTTACTTTTATTCTTCCTCTTCGCATACATTATATTATGAGTCTGTTATTTTATAATTTGATATAAATGTACACCCTTAACGAGTGTTAATGAAGTAAATATGCCTTAAAAGTAAAATGCGGATGATTATGGGAAATTCATCTTTAAATCTGTTTGAAGTGAACAGTTTTGGAACGAAAAGATGCCATCTTAAGCCGTCCGAACTGGAAATAATATTTAATATTTAAAAAACCAGTGTTTTTAACGTGAATTCAATTTATGAATTTTTTGACCTACGAATTTATTTTTTTCTGGATGCAAACATCGCTCAAATTCTACCAGTTGGAGCAGCAGTGCACGAAGAATTATTTGAACCGTGTGGCTATAGTATGAATGCTTTGATGCCGAATAGTGTCAGTTATCAGTTATGAATTGTTGCATGAAATCATAAATAAATATTTTTTTGCTTATCCCATTTTCATTCCTTTTATTTCTGATATTTTGGGCAGCTATTGAAATTCTTCATTTCCTCTGGCAAAAGAGTTTTTCAAGTTAAAGGCTAAAAAATGGTTTAATTTATTTATATCTAATATTTGTTGATTTCAGTTTACAAATTTTAGGATCAGTATATAACTATTCATGTAACACCAGAATCAGATTTCTCCTATGTTAGTTTTGAAACGAATCAAAATAGAACGTGTGTTTATCGGCAAACACTTTCAGTTTTAGAAATATTCAAGTTCATTTTTATTATCTTTTTTTAATAATTTATGGTACAAAGTCGATTATATTCAAAGCGATTTTTGATTTTCTTGTGTTATAATGGTAAATTTCTTGAGATTTTGATTTAAAATTTAAAGCGATTTATTTATTTCTATACTGTAAATTATATTTGTTTTCTAAAAAAAATCATTTTGTTTAGACCTGGAAAATTTATGATTACTTTATTTGTGAATAAATTTTCCGAGAATGGCATTCGAACACAAAGATTATTGTGGGATAATGAAATTATTGGTTACAAATGCAAGGATCGTCAATATATCTCGTTAAAAGTTGGTTTTTTCAAAAAAAAAGACACGCATTTCCTTCTTAACGGAAGAAATAATTAATTTACACTCAAATTTATACTCATATTTCATTTTCTACTTCGAATGTCATATCGATTTGAAAAATGTATTTAAATTTTTCAAATGAGATGGCTTTTTATTTTAATAATTTATTATTTTAAAAAAGTAAAAAATAACAAAATATTTTCAGAATGACACAGTAATGTATGCGTTATTTATTCGATCATGAAGCAGTTTAATATATCTTCAAGGAATATAGTTTTCTTCCTCGTTGTTCCTTTTTTTTTACTTTAATTTTTATTGAGTTATATTTTCTTATATTCATTGTAGGTTATCAGCTCTATTATATTTATTTATATTGCTTTGGTTAGCGTTATCATCTAATTCTTTTCTTTTTAAGTCGATTTTGAATTTAATTCGGAAGCAGGCTTATTTAGTTGGTTCTAAAATAACTTATCAATATGATTATTAAAGCTTTTTTTTTCCTTTGTCATCATATTTCTTTTAGCCTTTCAATCATTTTTACATCTATTTGCTGGTAAAATAAATATTTCAAAATTTAATCTTCTAAGTGATAGTGCTTTGAAACATCTGTCAATAAAATATTTAATGGTTTTGGGATTATTCAGCAATAAATATTTGTGTGTAAAAAATTGGATCATAGAAATATAATATAGATCATAAAAAACATGAAAGTTAAGATATTTATTTCTGGCAATGAGATTGTTTAGTTAAATTTTTAGTCGCCTTTTTCTAAGATTTGCAGGATTTGGAAAATTGAAAATTAAAAAGCTAAGAGAGGTGTGTAATTATATATTTATTTTTTACATTTTCTGTTTCTTTACAATTCTTAGATGCTTTTCGTATCAAAGTCAATTAAACATTGTCTACTTATTGCTATTCCGGTAGTTTCCCTATATTTTTTTTTTAAAATAATTCCTTTTCGACTTAAATGGAAGTATGTGAAGAATAAATGGAGAATAAATAAATAAGAATAAATAAGAATAAAGGAAAGAATAAATAAATGAATAAATTTAATAAATTGCATTATCACTGATTTCTCTTTGCTCAAAGTTGTGGTTGTATGTTGCTGAGCATCGGTGCTCTTTGAAACTGTTTCATTCTTTTATTACACTGCAAATAAATATTATAAAAATGAAATTAATAAATATTTATATGGTAAAATTTTACCATTGTTGAGCCAATGCTGGCATTGTCCTCGTGCTATTTCTGGTTTTCATGCTGCTGATGCTGGCGATGGTTCATCAAAATGATTCTCTGCCATCGAGAATTTATTTAATCCAACAAGTCAGTGGAGGGGAGTCTAAACAGAAATTGTGCGACTCTTAGGAAGAAAAACATGAGAAATAGAACCAGAAAATAGATTTACGATATAATTCTTTTAAAAATTTGGAGCCCAAGAAATCGAAAATCTATTTTCAATGAGCAAATCGCGTTTTAATCCCCTCGAGAGAACTCAATTTCAGTAATTTATTAAAGTGGAATTCGATAATAAACCAACTCAATAGCAAATGTTTCACTGTTCATTGGTTAGGAATGGATGCACATTATTATGGATTTATACTTTCCTAGCATTGTTTATGAATAGAAAAGCGGAACGAATGCAGGCGAAGCCTACTGGTCAGTAAACGACGAACATTGCTGCGCCAGTCTGCTTCTGTTCGTTTCACTACGCTTCAGTGCGACTTTTACTCATTCGACGAGCATCAAAAAAAGAATGGAGGAAATCTGAAAAAGGAAAATAGCTTAACAATATCACCACAATATTGGATTTCTATCATCAATTATTGATAGATTTTTTATGAAAAAAAAGAAAAAAATTGCTGAAAGAAACAAAAAAGTCGACAGAAAAATTTTATTGCTTAATCCATAAATTTTAACTAATTTTATGGATTTAAATTTGAATGAATGAATTTCGATTGTTGTTGAAAAACATTCGCATTCACATAGGTATTCATTTTTAATTGGAAATGTTATGTGAACATTTTATTCCTCAATTATCACTGCACTAATCTCTCTTTTTAGCGCGCTCATCACTCCTTTTATCCGCTACTTCACTTCACTAATTATCCATTAATTTGTGTGCGCATATGTCGCAGCTATTATATTAATCTTAATAACAAATAAAGAATTATTTATTGAAGATCTAATCGTTGGGAAATAAAATCGTGGAGGGCATTAATACTGGTTTTGCGGGGGATTTTTTATCAACTAACGTGGATTTCAACAGCACATTTGAGTTGCTCACTTATTTGTACTGTTTGATACCAATTCTCTCTAAAAATCTTCATCAGAGAGCAGTTTTCCTGGCGATCTCTTTTTTCAACTCTTCTTTAGCAGAAACGGATTGTAGAAGACAACAAATAATATTATGGCGAGAAAAAATAGGGAAATCGAAGAAATGGATGATATAAAAAATGGTAAGAGTATTCATTCTATCAGTTAACTTCTAGCAACTATTGACCTACTAATAACCTAATAACCTAATAATTGATTTTATAGGCAGACTAATTTTTTATATTTGCTTAATTATAATACAATATTCGCACTATATTGGTTAATAAATTAGTGAAATAGTTATACAATAATAATGATAATTAACGAGTCTTTCTTATCAATTTCTTGTCAGTTGTCTACATAAAATACGTCTGATAAGATCTAAGACGCAATTCTGGTTCATAGCGAAGCATATTGGCCGAAAATTTTATCAAATATACTGCTGCATTAAAATAGTTTCTTGAAAAAAACTTGGTACAATTCCTATTATTATTATTCTTCGGTATTCCTTATCTTTAAGTGGTAAATCCAAAAATAATTGTTGATTTTTAAGGAACATTGGCGATCATAGGGAATGAAAATTTTCCTATTCTTTTCGGTAAATGATTATAGATATTCTTTGAGTACTCTGAAAGTATTTAGAGCAAAATTTTGTAAATATAAATATTTTCGAATAATTTAGCGCAAAAATAAATAAAATTAAACAAATACGAGGATATTATTAAATAAATAAATATGTTGTTAACTAAAAGCATTCCGGAAAATTTTGTGGCATCACAATCGCTTTTCTAACTATTTACAAAATTTTTTTCGGAATATTTCAAGAGATATTTGTCATTCAGTTCAATTTATTTGATCAAATAAGACTTGTAAAGATGGGTAGGTAGTGGCTTAGGTTCAGGTATGGCGCAGTTGTAAACCTGTGATCAAAAAACCAGAGTGATGCTGGTAATCCAAATATGCTTCTATCGCTGAATGTCTTCCTGGCACAATTATTCGCAGCGAAAAGTAGCCTAAACACTTACTTGCTTACCTGTATTGTGCTCATGCACACAGTTTGTTAGTCTGGCCTAGTTTGCTTGAAATATAAAAAGACAAAATTTTTTATAAACAAAATAACTTGTAGGAAAGTTTAGACTTCAAAATATCGCCTTAAATCAATTTCTAAACTCCATCTGATAATGCTAAAGGCCATCAGTAAAATAATTCTGATTCTCCAATTCTCAAATCTTTCTTTTTCTTTTATAACCTTGGAAAATCTTTACCTCCAAAAACTATTACAATTCAAGCATCATAGTTCTGTTTCTTTTGGAGCAAATGTTATCGTTAAATGCCCAATATGAGTGGAGCGAATTACTTGGAGTACTACAACTTGAGACACACAAACTTTCTATATTTAAGAAATCGACGCACTCCTGTTACATGAAAATAAGAACAAGTTTGTTCATGCAAGAAAATCATTTTTCATTTTCATGAAAGTCAAAAATCAAAAATTTTTATCGTACTTATTGCAAATTTTTACAGCTAATATCGTTTTATGTTTTATACCCTTCGTTATATTCCTTGTATTCCTTTAAAGCTTATTGCTGCCCTTTTCATAATCTTTTATATATTGTATCAATGTATTAAACAAATTTTATCACTAAATTTTGATTTTAGTGATAATGATCAGTATAATACTATTTTATTATTTGATATTAATTGTTATTTCATAACTAATAGTTCGTTTTTTTTTCGAGAAATTATATAAAATTGAAATTTTCATATTAAAAATTGTTTATTTATTTATAGCATTCTATTTGTTTAAGATGCTTTACAACTTTATCTTTTTAACTGAATGACTAGCGTTCAATACTTCTGATAAGGTTAGAATAGATAATTAGTTAATCCGTTGGTTAGGTCGGTGAGGAATTTCTTTCCAGCAAGCCATCTATTTAAGAAAGCTATTTTATTATTTTTAATTAACTAATTTCTTTCAGTGGATGGATTAATGGATCAATATTTTACTTTTTGTTAATAATTTGTATGACCAGTGGACCAAATTTTCGAATTGATAATGACAGTCAAATTTCAGAATTTATTTATATGAATTTTATAGTTCGAATAGGCAAAGCATATATCTGGATGAATTTATATGGTGTGTTTGTGCAGAATTCATCGCTATATACTAATCTAAGCACAAATTCATGTGCACTGCAGTTTCCAAAACACTCTAAGTAATTTAGAAGTAATTAAATGGAAGTGGGTTTCAAGTTTATTACAGCAAATGATCTCCAACTCAAAAATGAAAAAGTGATAGAAAAAACTAATTTAAACTAATGGCTGGCCTAATAACATGAAAACCGTAAAGGACCAGTTCAACTGGTCTTAAATAGTTGAAAAAATTGAACATTTGCAAAGTAGGAATCGCTATTTATAATACGATCATTCCATAATACGGTGCAAAGTGGCTTGCATGCTATAAAAAATTTGGACTGATTCATAGCCCCCCACATGCCATTCGAACAAATATGAAGATCTTTCTTGCTATCCATTCATTCAACTACAGTTGAAATCCACTAAGTTTTGTTTTTTAATTTGAAATCATTTGTATTATTCTAAGAAATTAGAAGTTCTTTTGCTTGTGACTGATTCTTCGTTTTATTCGGCCGGGATAAACAAATATTATTATCATATTAGCACTATTTAACTTAGTTTAACTGCAACAGCTCTGTTTTATCTTATTGTCTTAACATTTTTAAATT